ATTCTGAACAACTTTCTTCTTTGCCAAAATATTGGTTGAGGCTCCATTTTCGAGTTATTAGCAAAAAAACATTTACCAATGAAAGCGTACATAGACCGGTTCCCCTTTTCGGTTCTTACAGTAATTGTGGGACACCCTGTATATCATAATATAAATGTGACAAGTGAAATACAGTGTAGAGATATATTCTCAAAAACTAAAAAAAAAACAAATGAAAACACCGGTAGTATATGTATAGTGGGAACGCAGTAAAACATACTAATTAAAATATAAATTTAATTGAAATTGGTTGCAAAACTGAGATTATATGTGTATCAAAAAGTGAATTAGAATGTTGATAATATATTTAACTTATAATAACTTAACCGCTGATAATACAGGTATTCCAACATACAATATAATATATTATTCTTAATTACTTAAACTTTTGTGTCCCACTTTTGATAACTGAAATAACTTTTATGTCCAATATGTAACACATTTTCCGAAGTCTGTTTGATATCGACTCATTATTCCAGATCCAACCAAAACGTCAAATATGCTGAGGACCTACCCATCCCTAAGTTCTTATAAAACTAGGACGCGTAAAACATTTATATGCACATTCAGAGTACCAAAATGAATGAATTTCTGACCTAATTAATCTGTTAATCATTACAAACCTAAATATTACGCGTTAATATCGCAAATATTTAAACGGAATCAAATTTTGTGCAAAAATTCGAACATACAAAACTCGGAGTACTCCAGTTTTTTCCGGCCAAACTTTACCGACGTGTTCTACACAAAAAAGTAAGAAACAAATGTTATATGAACATTTGCTCTTAAATGTTTTATTAAGGAGTTATAACTAATAATACCAAATTATCATAAACTGGCATTTCGTCGACACAGTATACAAACGTATTATGAATATCTCTAATTCTGTTTACACAAACTCTTGTCTACTTGTTCTGGTAGCTAATATCCACATTTTTTATTAACGTTTTATTAATGAGTTAACATTTCAAACGTTATTACGAACACGTAGGCTGTATCGACGAAATGCTAGTTCATTATAATTTTGTATTATTAATTATAACTCCTTAATAAAACATTGAAGAGCATATGTTCATATAACATTTGTTTCTTACTTTTGCGTGTAGAACACGTTGGTAAAGTTTGGCTGGAAAAAACTGGGACACCCTATATATTGCCTAAGTACTTGATAACTTTTAACACGTTTCTTAAATCATATTGTTATTACTTCGTTTGTTATATTGCAGAAATGGAAAATTAATATCTTTTTTCTGTGTTTGAAGTACTGTGTTATGCTATATTTTATACAAATATCAGTATTCTTACGGTAAATAATAATCGAAAATGCACCGAGAATGTTAACGCAAGTTGACCTGAAAAAATACTATTAATATTTTCTGAAATGCCGCGTTTGCAGAAAACGTCTTTACACTCATATTTTCTACTGAAATACCACTGTTTAAAATACTTGTGATTAAAGATAAAAATTAGTACTTTTATAACTTGTAGAAAATTATTTCAAATATGTGTCTAAAAAAGCATTTCTTCCTTTTCTTGTTTCTGCTGTCACTAAAAAACAATATATCTCAAGGTATTTACTTCTTTATTATTTCATAAATTAATCAAATATTTAATTTTTATGGTATAAAATATAGTTGATATTCTATGAAACAAAATTTTATTGAGGGCTGGTTGTATTTACGTTCTTGGCTTCCACATTGGAACCACCATTTTCAAGTTTCAATTTTAGACATCAGATTTAAAATCACTTTAATGAGAAACTTCCAAAATAAAAATTTGCAAAAATACAACTAATTGTATACATTAAGCTCTATTTTGTTAGATTCCGCATTTTAGATTTTGAAACTCCGACATTACTTCCGAAATTAGCAACCCTAAAAAATATATACATTGGTTTATGTGTATTTATTTACTTTGTAGAGTAAATGCATAGACGTACATATGATACTCATAAACGGAGCATAGAACTGATTTATACTTTAAAGAGATCGCAATAGCAATTAAATCTCTATTTCTTTCACATAGTTAAGAAAGAAGAAACCAACAGACACAGAAACATAGAAGTAATGGCGGGAAAGCGCGTGCCAAAATACAATTAATATAACGCATTCATGTATTACTCTTAGAATGTGGAATTTATAATAACTTAGCCGCTGATATTGTCAATCACTAACTACAACGTATTTACTTCGCTGAGAAACTTTATTATCTGGTAATAAAAAATTCAAATTTTATAATTTTTTAAGATTATCGATTATTTTCTGAATTTATCCACAATTGGCAATGTCCAAAAAGAACAAAATTAAACAAAAATTTATTACGTTAATAATTTCAACACATTCTTTGTGTTTGTCTCCGTCAAGCAATAGGATCAATATATTAAAAATTTGTGTTACGGTACTTCAACTACCTCAAGCTTAATTCACATTTTTGATAATTTTAAAAATATTTGATATGTATTAGAGTTTCGACAGAATTATCTTTCTTTAGTGAAAAATCTACGTAATTTAGATGAATGTAACGTGACGCTACAGAACTATGGAAAGGTATTTATAGTACTTGAGACCAAATCACCGCGAAAAGACTTTAATTTTCTTCCTACTATTATACAATTAAATAAAATGTGGTATGTTGCAATAAATGTACAGTTAATATTTACATATAATATCGAAAAGAAACAATTTAAACATTTATCCTTTCTTTCAAACTTCTTGCATTTATTCTTGAAACGCATAATTTAATAACATATAATTACAAAATATATAGTAGAAACGGAAATAGAAAATGTTAAAAATGTCATGAAAGCTACAAAACAAAATACCGATTTTGTAATAAATATATTAAAGTATTCCGTAATATTGTACCTATAAACCACTATGAAAAAATTTAAAAAATTAATATTTTATTGCACGAGTTGTTAAGCTCTTTCAAGTTCGAGAACCCCATTCCATCCTGACCATGTCGAATTTTTATTAAATGAGTTATTTGGATAAAAGCAAAAAGTTAGGGGATGTAAAGTCAACGTCAAAATTGTTTTGTGGACTCCCATGGGTTAACATAACACAGTTTAACACGTTGACTGCCACACTAAAGCAATTTTCAATTGCATCCAGTGGTGTTTTAATTTTGACTAAATTTTTCCAAATATTTTCACAATATATTTATTTTCCATAGATCCATGCAATTAATGCGAGAATTTTCGACACATGTTAAATCAGTATAGAAATTTAAGTGTCACCCATATGTGGGTGATGTGGCAATCAACGTATTAAGAACTATGTTTTATCGAATATAACTTATTACCTATTATTCACTTTATTATATGTTACGATATTATTGCACTGTAAAGTCATGTAAATAATTGTACAATTATATGAAGATACTGAAAATTATTCTATAGTGATTTAAACTCGCACGCAAAAATAGAAAACATTCCCAAAACACCAGTGTCTGTCCGCAACGTTACGTTCTTTCAAATTTGTTGCCACGCTATGTGCAAAAGTTAACAGTCGAAGAAGAGACGCGTAATACAATCTATCAATGCGCAGTAGTCCATTTAAATTTTAAAGTCGAATTTATATTGAATTCACTTTTGATCGTGAAATTATCTTTCCCCTATGAGACACTACGATGTTTCTGAATTTTTAATAGCAAGACAATATATTCAAATCGTAAAATAAATATACATGATGTCAAACAAACATTATACAAAGTAATAACCTAGTACGCAGCAATCGTTGCAAACGTAAAAGTATTTACAATTCGATTTATATTTAACGTTCTACAAATTTAACGTACTACAAACTTTAAAAACAAACGTACATTATTTAATGTTAAGTTGATCCAGTTAACTGGAATGATTGAAAGTAGTAACGAAAATATTCCAATATTTTTAAATATTAAAGTTAAAATACTTTTAACGAAAATTAAATTTCTAAACAATTGTTTTATATGATAGAAGTACTGATTTATATTTTGAACTTTTTTAAAAATCATGTAAAAATGTCACTTACTAGAAAATATAAAAGCAAAGTTTTTTCAAATAAATTATGAAAATATAAAAAAATTATAACTTTTTTATTAATACATTTAAAGCTACTGTTTATCGTTAGATTGACAGTTATAAAAAGTGTAAAAAGTTACGCCAATTTAAAAATGTTAAAAATCATCGAAAATTATTCGTAGCTTCAATGACAGTGAAAGGAAATAGAAAAAAATTCTAGTCTTATTAAAGACTATTACCTATTCATTTGAATTCCAGTAATCAGACTATAAACAAATTTGGGTTACATTTGTTTAGCAAAAATAAAATCATAAATGTCGATAGTGAAAAAAGTTCATGTTAATTAATTATAATTAATTAAGATCTTATATTAAGTAAAGCAAAACCATTTCTTAATATTATTTTATATGTAGACGCAATGCTAACAAATAATGGAAGAAAGTAAAAATGGCATTATTAAATTTCCATAGTAAAAGTCATGGTAGATCATAAGAGATAGAAGCACGAGATACAAATAAGATAAAAATACGCCAAAATTCGTACAAGATCGTAATAGTTGGGTTTATATTCTGGTTGCTTAACGAAAGGTTAAAGGGTAGGCCAATAACGTACTGCGTCGTACATAGACAACTAAATGTTGAATCAGGATTTTGTATGAAATATCAATCACTAACGTAAACAAATTTTACGAGACAAAAAGTTATAGACAATTTACGCGACCAAAAAGATTCAATAATAAAAAGTTCGATCTTTATGTTTATTACAAGTTGAAAATAATATAAGTTAGTATCAAATTACATCATCCTTCAAAAACTTACCAACGGACTTCGAGTATAATTGTAAATTGAGCATACGCAAAAATACCCAGAAAAGCCGGTAACCAAGCAGGATAGTTAAGCGACTAAATCGCAAATTCACTAGGTAGCTAACTAAATAAAGATAACGAGCCTCAACATACCTGATTGTTATCAAACTTCAAACTTCCGCGAAGAAATATCGTTGAACTGTGCTTTCGATTTTCACGCCATGGGAGCTCCTCCGCAAGGTGCTTCACTCACGATCCGCAACACAGACTGTAATCTTCACTCGACAAAGATAATTTCCAGACAACCGATCCACTCGATCATTACATTTTCGCAAGCTAAACGACTCTATCAACCGTTTCCGGTCCGAATATCTCTTCTATTAAAAATGCTAACCCGATCGAACGCGAACGAGACTACTCTTCTTTTTTCTTCTTTTCCTTTTTCGCTTCAACCAGACGCGCACACTCCAGCACGGAAGCTTGTCGACGAGTAAAAGCCCCTGAGCGCAGAGAGACGAGCAAACCAGGACGCGCCTTCCGAAAGCACCGCGCAAGCTCAGACTGTTCGTGCGAAATCCAGTCTCCACAGCGGTATTAAGGGTCGTTTCTCTTCGGCTACATTCGGCTACCAATGGTGAATCCTATACGAAAGAGTTTATGCGAGTAGAGGTGACTTGCACTTTGTTATGTTTACATTCAGCTGCGGACAGAAAACATCTTGCAAACGTGAACGTTATTGAACACCGTTTTTGACTGCTGATTTTATTTATTATCCTCTTGTACATTGACGAAGAATATTATTTTGAAATTGTTGCAATTTCGCGAGGATAATTTCTGCGGTCTTACAATAAAATTGGCCTCTTGCAATATGAAGAATGTTTAATCTGTTTTATACCTGTTACAATTGAACCTATTAATGAAAATGCAAATATTTAAATTTATAACGTTTATGTTTGATTTTATAATTTTATAAATTTGATACAGAGTGGATGGTACTTGGGGTACAACTGCTCGGGGAAACGAGTGATTGTACGTAGAAGACAAAAATATGAAATAAAATTTAAAAAAATTTTTAATCTAAAAGAGCTTTAAAATATTTTTAAGAAAATTTGCTTATAGCAAAGAAATTACATTTTCAATAACTTTCGTTAATTTAACATTTCATGGATGTTATAACTTAATTATATTTATTAACATTTTGAAAATATAGTATTAATCATTATTTTTACTACATTAATCTATAAAGTCTATAAAGTGTGATACATATGTACATACATGTACGAATAAATAAAAATATAAAAAAATGTTCATTAATAATTGTATTTATTAATTTATTACATATATTAATTGATGAACTAACAAAGTAATTATTTAATTATTATCTTTTTTACCGTAAATAAATTTTATCGAAAAATTAAATATTTCAATTTACTCTGAAGCCCTATATGAGAACGTTTTACTGCATATTTTTGTCTCACTTTTCACGTAAAATCATGCCTTGTTTTATGATACTATCAGGTACCAAATATCCAGCATAAATTAGCTAATTTTCTCTCTGGATAAAAATAGATACTTCATGAAACAAAAAAATTTAATAATCTTATTAAGGAATAAAATATATCGAGAGCATAAAATATGAACGAGATTAACAAATCTTGTAAAAATCTTTTAAATTATGTATACATAACGATTCAATTTGATCTTCATATGTGTCATTTCGCAAATAAACGAACTTTTTGAAAATAGTATTTAAAAGAGAAGCCATTTATTTTTGAAGGCATTAAAAGATATTACTTTGATCTTAAGTGGCGTTTTAAACGTAACATAAAGGTCACTTTATATTTTTCATATAGGACCTCTATATTATTTTAAACTGATGCTTTCTCTTTAAAAGCTTTCTCGGTTACAAGCTACTGTAATTTATAAATGTGCGTTAAAATTACACAGGCTGTGAACATGAAAACGTGAACATGAAAGCAAAAATATAACCAAAAATTATCTTCACATAAACGTGTAGAATAAGTGAAATTAATTTGATTGGTGAATTATCAACTTTTATCGATTAATGCTGTTCAATTTCATGAAATCAATTTCGACAAAGGGTATAGTTGGATAAAGGCATCAAAAATGCCTTTAGACTAAATTAATCAATGACCATATCAATCAATTAATAGACTGCTCAAAGGAAATCATTTTTACAAAGTATCAAACCGCTACTCCTACTTGAAGGTAGTTACAAGACGAAAAGCAATTTACAGTTTACACTTTATATCTTTTGTTGTACTGCACGGAAAATTTTGAAAAAAATTCAGAGATATTCTACTCTATGGCGTACGTATTTGTGAATTCTTCCAAAATTTTTAACTGCAAAATGAAGCTTTAAAAAATTCTGGAAGTTTACAAATATTTTTTTTGAATAGAAGTTATCAAATGACTACGTTTATATTTTTACAATAGAAGTACCTTGTCATGATTATTAATCTGTAATATTTTCAAATTTTTTGAAGTGGGAGGAGACAGTTGCACAAATCAAAAACCGATATCTGGTTATGTTATTACATACCTCAATTTTTCATGCAACTATATTCATATTTTTGTAATTTAATAGCCTGTTAAAATTATTAATATATAATTTTTCAAATTTTTAATAGAAGTCTATTATATACATATAAAAAAAATTGTAAATCAATATTTTCTGACTGTTCATTCGCGGATGAGTGTATGCATTATGCATATCATATTTTTACTTCATCAAATAATCACTATATGTAGGTTCAAAACTTTTACATGTATTAAATAAGTTAATATTTGAATATGACTTATATGTGGTTATGAACTATGAAATGTCGTAAATTTTGACTTTTCTCTGCAGATCTTCAAATTTCCTATATTTGGGCCTAAACTCTATTATATGTTGCATCTTCATTATCAAATATTTTTGTATTTATGAGACAAATAAAGTGAATAACTGTTCCATCTAACCCCTTGCACTATTTTGACGAGTCTGACTCATGACGCACTTGTGTTTCGGCCGTGATCAATTTTACTCGAATTTTTAGTACGCTTTAATTTGGAGTTCAAGTCCAATTATAATTTACATAGTCAACGATTGCATAATAACATATTGACATAACATTTGAAATTTTTCTGTCTGTTTTAATATTGTAGTTGTAATTAGTCAGTTCTGACTGACGCATCTAACAAATAAGTCATAGTGCAAACGGCTAATAATTTCGCTGTTCTGTGTTAAAAATTTTGCTGAGTATTTCTGTAGGCCTTACAATTTCCACAATAGAGCGCACATTCGACAAATAATAAATTATCGCTGCTATATAAGAAGGGAATGGACTGCCATTTGCACATTCGCAATTGCCATTTGCAATTTGTACATTCCCCTCACTTCAAAAAATTTGAAAACATTACAGATTAATGATTATAACACGGCACTTCTACTGTAAAAATATAAACTAACAATATAAATTATCATATATAAATTACCAATGTGTTTATTGGTAATTTCTTAAAAATTCATTCATTTAGAATTTTTTAAAAATTCATTTTGCGGTAAAAAATTCTGGAAGAATTCTCAAACACGTATGCAATTGAATGAAATATTAATATTAGTACAATACAATAAAAGATATAAAGTGTAAACTATAAATTGCGTTTCGTCTTGTAACTGCCCTTCAAGTAGGGATAGCCGCTTGATACTTTGTAAAAATGATGTCCTTTGAGCAGTCTATTAATTAATTGATATGGTAATTCATTAATTTAGTCTAAAGGTAATTTTGACGCCCTTATCCGACTATACTCTTTGATAAAATTTCATAGGATTAATTCTTACATATGATATTTTCAAAGAACTATCTCATTCTTATCGAGCCTGTTCAAGATTTAAAACTCAATTTGTGTTAACTCGCATGATTTTGTATTTAATGAATAATGTGTATTGCATGTAAAAAATACAACTTTTATAGAAAAAATATTCAAAAAAATCTTTTGAAATTTTAACTATGTGCTAATATTTTTATTACGTGACGCATCACGCATGGCAGGCACTTATTTGTGTAATTTATACTAACAGTAATGAATAAAAATTCAAATTTATATGTAACGCTCACACCGAAAATTATTTTCACGATTTTTACTTGTTGAAAATAGCAAAAATAAATATACAAGTATGTCGGTAATTTGTCAATATGTCGGTAATAAAGTTTGTATATTTATCTACTAGCTATACGATACCGCTCGTTTAAACCAGACCCTCAAATGTTAAAATAAAATAATATCTGAAATATTAATTCTTCTCTGTTCTCATATCAATTACAAGATTGCATTCGCATATTAAGAGTTCTTGCTTAAAGTTTCCTTCCTAGTTACAGTTTCATATTTTTAAAATAAATTTGTTCAAAGTTTCAATGGTGTTAGTTGTGTTATATTTACATTAAATAGTTTTTCAATATCATATTTTAAAAACTATACTCCCATTTCCATTATTACTTGACTTCTCAAATGCTATGAACACTTAATATTCGATAATGAAATAATTAATACATAAATTATACAAGGTTGTAAACAAATTGCGAGAATTTACATTTTCTAATCATGGATAACAGATTACGCATAAAAATCATAAATCATATTTTATGAAATATGGAACAACACGCAGCACAATTACATTACATGTATTACACTAAAAATAAGAAAAATTTGATCTGTGCCAGTTGTAAGACGCGCAGAAAGAGATTCATGTCCTCAATTTATTCGAAAACACACATACAGACATAGATAGAAAGAAAAAGTGAAAGAGGTATAAAACCGATCATGTGACATTCACACGTAAAATTCTGTGTAATGCTAATATTAGTAGTAGACACGTAAGTTTTGATGGTTGATAATCAGGAAACTTTATAACAACAAAATTTGACTTTGCATAAGCTATAAATATATGCAATAATAAATAAGAGTTCCGTTTAAAACGTGCAAAGTGATTTCCGTGTGACTTTTACAAAATCATTTAAGTTCACTCCTTTAAAAGTAATAAACCTTTTACTGAGTTTCTTTTCTAGAAACGCCTCATTTGTTGCAAACTAATCTGTTAAAATTAAAGTAATTCATTCTACAGATTTAAATATCATGTCATAGAACATTGAATTTTATCCTACAATTAACTCTACAGTTGAAACAACAATCAAAATAAAAATGATGTCCAAAACAAAACAATTTATTAGCGGAATTGATGAGTAGATACACTGGCTAACAAACGTAAGTAAACACCTAAAATTTGCAGCTAAAAGCGTTTGTATCAAAGTAAATATTTAACTTTACAAAATATAATAAAAAATAAGCTACATAATTATTCAGAAATAAATAAACATGACTAATGCTTGATGATATTTTTATCTTTCTGACATTTTAATCTTTAATAAACGACACATTTTTATCCCGAATACGATTCTATAAATTACTTTCTTTTTTGTAATGCGTATGGTTTTTGGAAAAATTGAACTTAAAAAAAGATTACTTTATAGTTTTAAAAATGTTGTATGCATTCATAATTGCAACTACTTGGGCCACCTAATCATCAAACTATTATGCAG